TATGTTAAAGGCTGGCAAAGGATCTTTCTGCAGAGGTTCACTTTTGTAGCATGAATAAGCTCTAGCTTTGTTTTGAGATAGAATTTAAGGCAGAGAGCCAGTGTGGTGTAGTGGTTTGAGCATTGGACTATGACTCTGGAGACCAGGGTTTGAATCCCAGGTTGGCCATGAAACCCACTGGCTGACCTTCAGCAAGTCACATTGTCTCAGCCTCAGAGGATGGCAATGGCAAATCTCCTTTGAAGAAACTTGCCAAGAAAACCCCACGATAGGTTCGCCTTACTTTGTCATAAGTCGGAAATGATGTGAAGGCACACAACAACAACAACAAGTTTGAAAAGTTACTTTTAAAAAAATTATTAGAATTACATTTCCAAGGTCCCAGAAATGTGCCACTTGCAGTTGCAACTCTTATGAAAAGTTACTTTTCCCTTCCCTGTTGCTCAAACATAACCAGAACAGTTATATTTTAGGTATATTTTAAAAAAACCCCAGAATGTTACAAGCCACTGGCCTGTGATATAAAACACACTCAAGTAGTGAGGTTCCTGTATACTACATGTAACTATAAAAGTAACTAAAGCAGTAACAAATTGCACCACAAAAGGAATTAAGGTTATCTCTGCTTACCATACAAATGTAATGCATTTTAATTATGCCTTATTAAATGGATAGAGGAATTCCGGGAAAGTGATCCATCCCTGTAAAAAGTTACTTCCAAAACCTGGTATTTAAATTACTAAACAATATATCTAGCCATCATCTTTTAGAACAGCTGCCAAAGAAAGAGTAGTAATATATCATGAACCCTAACTATTTTTTTAAAATAACTTCTTCTTCCTCTTTTATTCTCATCTTGTCCTTTTATAAGAAGAGAAATTAAAAATGCAACAACGCAACATACTTGGCCCTATGGCTACAATAACTTATTTATTTGGTAATTTACTTAGCAGAGATGGTATAATAGCTGTGATCAACTGAGAACCACGGAGTACAAAAACCAACACAATGAATATTTAATCTAGAAACATACATTTGCACACAGTCGGGGAAAGTTCAACAGTAATCAACACGGCTCAAATTGTGCAGGAAGACAATCCCTCCCGCCACTTGCCCCCAGTGCCCTGCAATGCAGACATTTTCAAAATATCAGCAACTGTTGGTTTGCATTTTCACAAAAGTAATTTCCTAGTCCTTAAGGTCATTGATGTTACCAACAGCACATAGCTTGTCTCCCAAGAATTGCTAAGGCAGCCTAGAAAGAGAAGGCATTCCTAACAGAATACACTGCAGCTCTTCTTTTAACACTGGCTGCTTCTTCTTCCCCTTCCTTCCTTCCTTTGCCAGTAATTCTATAGTTGTCAGAAGTTGAACTAGTGTGAAGGTAGCTGTTGAGCAAAAGCAAAGCAAAGCAAAGCAAAGCAAAGCAAAGCAAAGCAAAGCAAAGCAAAGCAAAGCAAAGCAAAGCAAAGCAAAGCAGCTTCATTTATATACTGCTTCATACTGTGCTATGGGGTGTCTAAGCAGTTTACAACTGTAAACTCATTGACCCCCAACAGTTGGGTACTCATTTTAGTGACCTCGGAAGGATGCAGGCCAATTTCAACAGCATAGTGGCTAAGACGCCAATTCTGACTGTTTATCTACTTGCATTTGCATGCTTTCAAAATGCTAGGCTGGCACAAGCCGGGACTAGTGACAGGAGCTCACCCCATCATGTAGCACCTGGGCCTTGAACTGCCAACCTGGGCCTCAAACTGCTTCCTTTGCTTGTGGATCACCTCCATCCCATTGTGCTCCTTGCTGCAGTCCATCTCCCTGTGGCCCTGTCAAGGGTTAGACTTGAATCAAAGCCCCCCCCCCCATCCTCCTAAAAGCAGGTTTTGCACTGGTTCTGGGGGTCTGCAGTTCTTGTGCTGACCTTGCTTTGGCTACCTTTTGGGGTGGAAGCAAAAATGGGCAGAAAAAGTGAGGAACCACATAAGCCAGGCAAGGTGGAGACTGTGAGTCAGGAGGACACACCACCAGGCTCTGACCAGCACTTGTGGTTCTCCTCTGAAAATCCCCTGAGATGCAGTCTATGCGGCAATAACATGGCTTCATTGAGCATACTTAGTGCCAAATCTAGGAATTAAGTTTGGTACAAAGAATTGAGGACTGAGGGGGAAGCACTGAAAACATCCTCCAAGCACCCTCCCAATGCTTAGGGCTCACTCTCCCTTGCCTGGGTGCTCAAACACTTACTCACTCCCCTCCGTCTCTCCCTCTGCTGCTATATACAGATCCACTTAAACAGATCCATCTAAACATGGTCTCTTCCCTTCACTCCTGGGCACAGCTGTGTCAGGAGAGGCAGCTCTGAGTGGGTAAGAGTCTTGGTGCAAAAGTCTGGCAGGCAAAGGGGCTCACTTGGTAGAGTCTTCTCTCTCTCAAAATGGAGGACATTTTGCAATTCCTCTTGGACTCCCGGATGGAAGGTTAAAATGTAGGTCCTTTCTGGGAAAAGCAGGACATCTGGTCAAGGCTGAACCTGGTTACCAATCAGTGCAGACAATATTTAATTAGATGGATCAATAGTCTTAGTTTGATCATAGAACATAAAAGATTACTGCACTGCCTTTCTGCCCAGCCTCAGTGCGGGCTGAAGCTTTTGATTTTTTTTTTAAATGGGTGTTATCTCTGCGGCCGTAATGCATTTGTCAATTTATTGACAGGTGTCAGGGGACTAGCTGTAGTCCAGGCATGGCTAACTTGTTAAAGTGTCAGGGGGCATGGCTGTAGTGTATCTGTTTATTTATCGATAAGTGTTAGGAGATTCAGCCATAGTATAGGTGCGGTTAATGTGTTAAAACGTTAGGGGGTACGGCTGTAATGTATTTATCAATTCATTGACAAGTGTCAGGGGACTCTGCCGTAGTACAGGCATAGTACATGTCTTAAAGTGTTAGGGGGTAC